GGGCTGTGGGAACGGGAGCGGCTACGAGAACGTGACGTGGAGCGCCCTCTGGAACGAGAACGGGATGAGCTATTTGAACGAGACCGAGTTCTGGATCTACAGGACAAGAGAAAATCAATCAATCAATCAACTAATCAATCAATCATCCGTCTGTCAATATTAACATTCAAAAGTTAAGGGTTGATATGATTTTTTAAAGTGTTTTTGAAAACTGTCTTTTATGCTCCAAAAATATAGTAAAACTGTAATGTTGTGAAATACTATTACAATAAACTATTAAATGATTTAAACATTTCTATTTTAATATTTAATATGTGATTGTAAAGCTGATTTTTCAGCAACCATTTCTCCAGTCTTCAGAGTCACATGATCCTTCAGAAATCATTAAAATATGCAGATTTGGTGACCAAGAAACATTTATTATTATTATTATTGTTAAAAACATTTGTGCTGCTTGATATTTTTGTGAAAACATTTCTTTCAGGCTTTTTTTTTTATTATTAGAAAGTCCGTAAGAAAATAAGTTGTGTAGCTTTTTTTTGTAACATTATAAATGTGTTTACGGTCACTTTTGATCAATTTAATTTAATGATTTGGTGGAAAAAAAATTTAAATAAATGACTGACCCCAATCTTTTAAACAGTATTGTATAGACATATATATATATATGTTTTTCATTATACATATTATACAGTTTATATACTACATTTGTCATTAACAGTACATACAAAAATTGTAAACTTTAAACCTTAACAGACAGCTAAAAACAAGAATAACTCACTTTTTCCTGGATGCCTCAACAAGTTTGATTTTCCTTCCATTGATCTCCTTCCCAGACAACTTCTCAAGGGCATTTTTTAGATCACTATGGGATGCAAACTCAACCACACTGTAGAAAGATAAAAGTATTACACAAAACAGCAAAAAAAAAAAAGCAGTATCAATTCAGCTTTAAAATAGTTCTGCAGGGAGAGTAACAGGAAAGAAAATAGCCAGCTCACCCCTCATTAAGCTTTGGCCGATGGGCATCTGCAAAAGTAACCTCTCCGGCTTGTCTCATGAAATCCTTCAAATCCTACACACAGTACACCAGGATTTTGAGTAAGCTAAGTAACTTAGATAATAATTTTTACACGTTTTATAAAGTATCACAGTAACTGAACTATCAAAGTTGGGGTCCGAGAATCTCTCAGCTCATGCTCAAGCCTGGACCATGTTCAATACGCTCCATACAAACATTCAAATTAAGCTGAAGAACATTTCAGCACACGGATACCAACAAAAAGTATAGGGTCTGTGTAGGGTAACTTTTTGGATTAGTAATCAGACAGAAAAGAACGGCAAAAAGCGAGGCCAAGCTGACACCTTTGAACCACAACACGTGTGAATCAGCCCCATTTCATGGTCTTAGGGATCTTTATTCAAAGCTTTGTGAGGCCAACCCTGGCTTCTAAACACAAAGACTTCTGTCTCGTCAGCCAAAATTAACGAGCACTGGAACGAAAAGGAGTGGCGTATAACCAAGAGTACTTTTGGCTTGCAATGCTGTAACATTCCCAGACCCCCGTACTACAAGACTAGCAGAGGAAATATGTGGAGCAGCTCATAAAAAAGGGCCCCATATTTGTTAAAATGCTAAATACATTTACATGGCAGATGTATTCTTACCAAAACACAAGTGTATACAGTGTGGTAGAGCACAGGGCTTCCTTCCATCGATCGTACCCTATTTGTGCCGTCCCCTCAAGGCCACTGAGCGTAAACAGCGAGGAAGAGATTATAGACTAATACCTGGGAACGTACCCATCGGGCTGGGGCCATAACCTGGAGATTTTATCCTCGGGACCACCAGAGAGCAGGGTGGGTGAGTATACCGATCGAAGCCTCTCAAATTACCGAACCCCTCGATTGACTGCGTATACCAGAGATTGGCTCTGTTTCTCTCTTTCTCTCGCTCTCTTTCTGCCCCTCTCTCTCTTTCACTCTGTCTCTCTCTCTCTCTTTCAGCTCGGCACCGTCACAAACTGCGCTTTGTAGCGGCAGCCGCTGCATCTAGAGCGAGAGGGCATCACTCACAGAGAGCTCTCATGCGATCGGCGGCGATCGGTGGAGGTCAACTAGGCGTGGGACACAATGGGAGTGGCTTAAGCAGAGAGAGGGGCCCTGTAGGGGTTAACTCCACCATTAGCGATCTCTTCCATACGACACAACAGTCAGGCTGGCAAATAGAGGGGTGAACAATTGGTTAAAACAGAGGCAAAGTGACTTAACTTTACCATTTCCTCTTCTCTAGCACCAAGTATTTTTTATATGACCTTGAATTTGAAATTAATCTCAGAATGACACTTTTTGTCACAGATTTACATTTAGTTGGGTAATTAAAAGCTACTAAATCAACATAACTATCTATCTATCTACATAACTCTCATATTTTATTCATCTTTGAAGGAAATCCTTATTTTTTGTCATTTGCAATGACTGGGAATATAACTGACTCAACAAAACCTGACAGCAAATTGTTGAACACTCACCTGCCAGCTGACTCTCGACGACAAATTCTCCACAATGAGGCGATTCTCTGTGCGCATTGGTGGAGGATTCCTGACAGGTTAAACACTTAAGAGTTATTGGCTTGATTTCTAATGTAGAAAATACAACTAAACTGAACATAGTATGTTTACACAAGCCTACCTGTGCAAACATGCCATACCTTTTAGATTGAGATAGACACTTCAAAAGAACAGCATTTATTTGAAATATATATTTTTTGTAACAATGTAAAGTCCTTACTGGCAGTTTTGATCAATTTAACGCATCCTTGCTGAATAAAACTTAATTTCTTACAAAAAGAAAAAATCTTACTGAACCAAAACTATTGAAAATTGAACAAAAATGGACCCCTACCTCCGGCTGTCCTGGGAGCCACGATTATACCGACCAGGAAAACGACCTCCTCCTCCTCCTCCTCCTCCTCCTCCCCCCCCCCCCCCCCCCCCCCCC